CAGCTGTGGGAGGTGTTTGCTACCTTTCTGTCTTGAAGGATAATGCTGACCCGTTTTTAATTATATTGTTACTCCAGGAAGCTATCGGAGGTGGATTTTATGATATTTCAAGACAGAGATTGTATGGTAATGAATTGCAATGAGATGCAAAACAGCAGGGAGCCAAAGGGGAACCTGCTCAGCAATGCACAGCACTGCTGCAGAGTCGCAGAAAACATTCATTTCTGCTTTAAGGACAGGGAAGGAATTAAGACAGGCTGCATCTTATCACCGCGTTGGCAGTTTAGCCAGAAAGTGGATTAAGGGCCGTTGCAGAGCAGTCCCAGATTTACCGCAGGAGCGAACGCAGCCGCGGTTCCGCCGGCCGGAGGCAGAGGGAGGCGGGCGGGTGGGCGACAGCGCGAGCCCGGCCGGTATCGGGGGGACCCAGGCGATGGGAGAGGCGCTGCCAAGTGCCAGCGGGCGGGCGGGAGCCTCCACAGCGAGCGAGCCCCAGACGCTCCGGGGCCAACCCCAAATCCCAGCGCGACCTGCCGAGGCGGGCAGAGCCATTTCCCTGGGCTCGCTGAGCTGCGGTTTCAAACCTGGGTAATGGTTTTTTTATGAGAGCGGACGGCGAGGCCTCCTGTTGCCTCTGCCAAAACACTCGGGCCAGGCAAAGTCATTTCAGCAAATTATTGTTTTTCTGGAAAATGCTGTTCTGTGCTGCCGGGTTATTCGGGGAGTCAAGGTGATGCTGGCAAAGGGCGCTCACCAGCAGCGGCAGAGACCAAACCAGGGGCACTGGTGTGGGGTGTCTGGGCCGGGCGGGTGCAGGACTGGGAGGGGGGTTGATGCTCAGGGCTGGGGCAAGAGACGGGGCCCCTCAGCCCCCTCCTAATTTGGAGAGGACGCTCGGACTGCAGCGTTCCGCGCAGCGAGGTGGGGGTGCCTTGGGGTATCCACTCATTTCACAGGGCTGGAAGGTTTTTGGGAGGAGAGACAGAGCCACCCACCCTCTCAAGGAAACCCTCCGCCCAGTGCTTGTTCTGAAATGTGAGGCAGCCCAGTCTGGGCTTGTCCCCCCAGGCCTGAGCCTGGGTTTCACGTTCGGGTGGGCTTCGGGGCCGGTGCCTGGTAGTGAAAGACGGGAGAAGGGAGGGAAGTGGCTGTGAGGAGCTGGAGCCCTGGCCAGGCTGCCCCGGCAGACGGTGCCTTCTCCGTTCCTGAACGTTTGGATGCAGTCCAAACCCGTCTGGCCAGGGCCATGGCTGGCCGTGCCCTCTGCGGGGGTCACAGCGGATGGCTCTGGGGCAGGGGAGGGGTCTCGGATGGCACCTGCGGGGCCGGGATGGGCAAGGTAACAGCAAACTGCAGAAGGAGACGCGACAGCTTTTGGGTAAGAACGTGCTTTGCTCTGCGGGTGATCGGTTGGGGACGGTGGCTCGGGAGGAGCCCTCGCTCGCACGAAGCGCGTGTCAAGGGAAGGCGGTCACACGGCGGGGCGTGGGAGAGGGCTCCCCCGGTTAGGCAGCGAGAGGGCAGGAGCCCGGGCAGCGTTGGTCGTGGGGGGGGCGAGCTGCAGACTGGATCTCAAGGTGACGGCCACCTCTGACCTCCCCCCGCTCCTCTGCCGTGGAACATCCATCTTGCGGCCGCTCCCGGGCAGCCCCTTCTCCCTTCCTGCAGCCCGCGAGCGCTCACCATCGATCTCATTGATTAAAATCTGCATCTGCCCCGCAGTGAAGGAAACCGTCAGCATGCCCAGGGACTCCTGCCTGGGGTTTTCTTTCCCCTCCTGGTGTGTTTGCCCAGAACAGGTCCATTTTGTGCCCAGAGGCTGCATCTGCAGAAAATTTCACTTGGGGGTGTGAAAGATGTGGTATGTTGGGGGGGGGTGTCTCTGCAACACCAGGGGCCAAGGAGAGGCACAGCAGGAAGCAGTGCCCCCTCCCAAAGGTTGCTCAGCAGCCCTGTGGGAGCAAGGGACTGCCCAAGGGGGTGCAGGGGGGTCTTACACCCCAAACCCACCATTCTCAACTCTTCCCAGCACATGCATGCACACGTGCATGTGTCCAAGGCTTCACCCTGCTCTGCCCAGGAGGAGGTGGGAAACTCCCCCGTGCACCCTCTGCCCATCCAGCCTTGACAGTGGCCCCAGAAACACCAGTTAAACATGTGCCAGGGATGCGGCCGTGCCCAACTGGCCAGACTGGGATGAGAAGGCCTTGCTGCTGGGATGGAGGGGGGAACCGGAGCTGAAGGAGCATCGCCAGAGGAGCAGCAGCCTCTGCCTGAGCAGAGTGCAGAGCAAACGCCCGTCTGTTTAACTCCCGGCACCTGGAAACCAAAGCTGGATGCGCGGCAGCCATCGGAGAGGATGCACGAGCGCGTGAGAGTCCTCGGGGCTGAGGGGTGAGAGGTGCAGGTGGAGGGGACGGGGGCAGCACCGGGGTCGGCAGGGTGCCTCTGCTCCCTCTTCCATCCAACAGCTTCCCCCCCTCCGCAGCAGGGGCAGTGCCGGCGGCGTGGGCCCAGCCCGACGCGCAGACGTGTGGGCAGCGGGCAGGGAGGGGCAGCAGGCAGGAGCCCTCTGCCCGCACGCTGTCACACGCCTGCCCGTGAGCTTGTGCCACGCTGGAACAGCATCCTTTAATCACAGTTATTTTAAAGAATGAAGCAGACCGGAGCAGAGATTCAAAGCCAGCCTGACACGAAACCAATCAAAGTTATCAGCAAACCATTAAATTGCTTCCAGAAATAAAGCTCCGCTCGTCTCAGCAGGGAGAGAGGTGAGATGGAGGTGCCTGCCCGCTCCTGCCTTTCCCACCCCCATCCCTGCCGCTGGGGCCGGGGCTGTCTCCCACCTCCGGGCGGTGCCGGTTACACCAGCCCCGGCCGGGCACTGGCACCCCGCGGCCCTTGAGGAGGCTCAGCTCCGGGCTGAGTGGTGGTCGTGCTTTTGGCAGGGTCTCCCTGCGGTTCCCCTCCTCGCGGGCGGCATCCCCAAGGATCCATGTGGAAAGGGGGTTCCCCCGGGTAGCGCCGCGTGGCACCACAGACGCTCAGCACCACGCGACGCTCGGCACCGCATGCCTCACCCCGCCCCTTCGGGTTTTCAGTGCCACGAGCTGTGCTGGGCCCAGGGACCACCGGGGCGACGTCCCTGGCGGGGCTTCGCCCCCAGCCTTCGCCCGCCGAGCCGCTCTGCTGTAACCACGCTGCTTCTGGAGCTCCTGGGAAAGCCCCCGCGAGGAATCGTCCTCTCGGGGCGGCCGGGCTGGTCTCCTACAGGTGCCCCGTGGCCCAACGGGAGCAAAGACGGGACCGAGGAGAGGAGGAGGGTGACGTGCCGGGATCTCGGGCTGCTGCAGCCGCGCTGGGCTTTCCCGAGAGCCCCTCCATGAGCCCCACGGAGCATTCCGGGGACGTCAGGTGGTGGGCAGATGGGAACACGGGCCTATTGATTTTTACTAGCTTACTAAAAATTAGAAAGGGGAGCAAAAACCCTTAAAAAGCCGGCGTTAAAGCATTGTTCCCTGGGCGGTCGTTC